CCCCACCTGAAGCTGTCTCACATTCGCCGTCGACTAAATATGAGACCATACGATCTACAAGAACAGATCGCTTTTATTACACTACCTGTAGCCATCAGTTGCCTAAAGCTTACCAGTAAGCAAGGAAATAAGCGAACAGCAGGATATATTTTTAAACAACATTTGCAAGTAGACGAGTTAGGAATGTCCTTTAAAGGGAGCAGTATGAAGTGATCGCGAGATGTATCCAGTTTTACGAAGGCTAGACCAACGGGAAGGGAAGCTCTAAAACACTCGGGGTGGGGGGGGGGTGAGCGCATTCAAAACCCTCCTGTCGAAAAAAAGAGCCATTTGAACTGCTCTCGCTGTTCAAAAATACAGTTATTGGTTAACCAAATACAGTACTCCTTCCTCCTGCAGGCTTAGGCGAATACTCATCTACGTAATGGGAAGGGCACTTTTGCTTAAGGATTCTTTCAAGTGCCCCTCCCAAGCGTACAATCTCCAGAAAAACCTCTAAATTCCCAAAAAAAGATTGCTTGTTGTTTTCCTACGGGTTTCAAGGTTAACGCGGTTCATTTGGCCAGCACAGCAGATCACATGAGTCACTACCGGGAAGTTCGCTCACTATTTGGAAGTCATTGATGAAGAGAAGATTCCCGTGGGATAAGGGGTTTTCGCCGAACAATCACCGATTTCCGTGGTATTTGGCGAATCACAGCTGTCCGAAATCGCATAAAAGGGTGAGATGAGCGTCAAAGTGACCGCACTGGCTTCTCACGCATTTTTTCTCGTTCACAAGCTTTAAGCTACTTTTCTGATCCTCCATCTAAAGCAATACTTCAGTCTCAGATTTTAGTAAACCTTTAGTATCAGAAAAGCAGAGCAAGAAGTGACATTCTCAAGAATCCATTTTCTTTCTGTGGACCAGCCCCAAGCTTTTCCAATGCCCTGCACACTTCCGCTTTCGCACTAGACTCGCACAGAATGAAAAGTGCTATCCAGCTCTAGTTGTAGTATTTCTATCTTTGCTTGTTTGTATATGTTTCCAACTATTTTTTCACACCCTCTGTTCACAATCACTTTGCTTCCTATCGGTGAATTTCCTGAACCCCCTGAGAAAAATGATTACTTCACCCTTGCCCTGCCACCTAATGGGCTAGCTGTTGACTTATCTACTGGGTGTCTGATAAGAACAAATTATCATCTCTTCCTAACAACTCGTTGTTCTCACAGTCATTATCACACCTAATGAACTGAGAGTGCAATGACATACGAAGACAGATAACGGAGCCCATGTGCCTCGGTAGGAGCTTATAAGAGCTACATATCTCCTAACGTATGGTTGAGAGGGTGCAGTGGGAGGGTGACTTGTTCTGACGTTGACTACGCCACGCTAAAACATGTTATGTTGTCTCGGTGAGAGGGCCCATTCGATCTGACATGACGTGGTTGAATCTCGCTGAAGAGTTACCCCTCCCAAAACTTATAGCGCCTGATTCATATCGTCGAATAGCCATAGATACGTTTGGAACAGCGGAATACTATATGATTTCACAACCATGTAACTGTTCCTACTGATTAGGACATGGTAGAGACACGAGGAATCGGCGAGGAATTCTTCATAAAAGTTCCGCGTAAGGCTCACATCATCACATAAGATTCGCAAGTGACCAACCAGTCCTAGGAAGAGGAAAACTGACAAGGCGTTTCTCTATGCCCTTACTCTCATGACTGCTCTTGAAGGCTGTCCATCTCCGTATTATGACCAAACGACTCTTCAATCCACAATAATTTCCTTGTTACAGAATGATTTCCAAGATTTTGCTTGCTGCTCTCTGCCTTATCGCTGTGCTGTGCGTAGTTGAGGCACAGTGGGGAGGTTATTATGGTGGTTACGGTGGCGGGTACGGAAGAGGCTACGGCTATGGTGAGTGCTTACATACATTTGATACCCAATAAAAGCTATCGATGTCATTTAAATAATGAGTTCAGGATACCGACCCTTCTACCGACGATCGTTCTATGGCCCAGGTTATGGAGGCGGTTACGGAGGCTATGGCGGCTATGGTCGCGGTTACTATGGATAACTCTAGTGTGTGATCTGGTCAGACGAAAGGCGCTTTTCCTGAATGACTTTGATGGTGTAGGCAATGATTCCTTACTGAAAATGGCACATGTACGTAATTGCACAATGTAATAATCACTTTGATAAATCTATCGTACTCACTGTCCAGGCTTATTCTACAGGCTTGATCGCTGCGGATGATGCGTGTGTCAGGGGAGGGGATGAAAGGGGTTGTGTTGATGCAGCACCAGCCCAGTTTCCACCCGTTGTTGTCGCTTGCTCTCCCCGAAAATCGATATCG